TATTTGTTATTGTACTCAGGTGTATATATCCCCCTGAACTCAAGGTTCAGTCTTACGCCTGAAAACCATCTGCATTTTATACAACTCGGTAAATACACTGTTTTTGTCACGTGAAGTTTACATATTTGAGCATAATGAACACAGACTTTAAGTCCAGCTTGTGCACACTAAGCGATCTGAAAAAAGTCCACGCCGTGCTTTCAGTGAGAGTGGTTGAAAAGCGGGAAACAGAACAATTGCTTTACAGAGGCGTTGCTTCCTTTAATAATTTGTGCCACATAAAGAATACTTTTCACGCTAGGTCATTCAAGGGAGATTTTGGTGGAATGTGATCATTCAGTTTATGCAGCAAAACCAAGCTACCACGATTTAATTCTGCTGTGTGCTCAAATTTTATATTGTACACCCATCAGTTGTTAAAGCACAGCTCCTGCTAAGCTGAAAGCATAAAAGAGAGAGTCTCGTTTCACTTCTGAAAAGCCTGAAAATGTTTTATTCATGTATTTGTAGCACATACATTGCAGGGAGTACTGCTGGATTCAAGAGAGAATTGAACGACTCTTCACAGATGAGATTCTGCTAGCTTAGGATTTTGATTGGGCAGTAAAGAATCTATCAGGTTTTTTCTTCAGCTCCAGGTCATTCATTCTGGCCATTTTGATGAAGTCTAAACCAGAGCAATTATGCATTCATGAGCAGGATGCTGAGGGTTTCACTTGGAAAACTGAAGGCTGATAACCAAAGTAAGGATCAAGTATCTTTCCTGAGGCTACTGCATAATGATGAAAAGACCACATCTCAAAGCACGTATTGCAGAAAGCCTAGTGCTGCTCTTCAAGCTGCTATAGATAAACTGATGGATTTAAAATAACCAGCCCCTTCATCTGTCGGGGCTCAGTAGACCTCTACAGTGCATCAAACATAATGTGTGTTCTAGAATGAAGAGCTTTGTGCTGCTACAAGGCAGAGCTGACAGCTCCTGTTTCAAAGTTATCTTTAATGCAAAAACAAGAAACGTTCCCAACTGTATCCATTACAATAAAGATGCTGGGTGATAAAGTCTGCTACCTAAATCATTTCAGTCATGTATGGGAAATCAAATCTCTATAAGCCTGAATGCACACAAAATGCAAATCACTCTGAACTGCCTCTAATACAAGCACATTCACATCCATCCTCAATTTCAGATACAAGGTGTTATTGTGAGCTCACTGCAGAGCCTGGTGTAACCTGACTCCAGGGAAATGCTGACTTGGAAAGATGTGTGACAAAGAGCCCAGCCCTGCAAGTGTTTGTTCCCATGAGCCCTTCCAGAGGCAAACAGGCTGCATAAGAACGACTCTGGGGAGAAATTAGTCCATATTAAACAATGTACTAATAACGTTAGAGAGCGGGCTGCAGTCTCCAGCTAGCTCGAGAGTATTTGCATTGTACAGGCAAACCCTAATTTGGTGGATTTGGCTAAGAGTTGGGAATGGCTTGTCAAAATAATCCTGAGTTCATTTATTGAGACACTAACAATGTTCCATCCCCACGTGGACAGGGGACTACCCTTGGTACAACACAGCATTGCCTGTACGCTGCTCTTGTGTGGAGAAAGGCTCAGGGGACAGAGCTGTGTCTTGCAGAAAACAAGGAGGCCACTAGCAGTGGTGTTGGATCTGGCCCAAAATACTTCACCTTGTAGAGATTTTTGCTGAATGGAGGTTGTTCATTCAAAGTCCCTGTGGATTTCTAAACTAGCTGAAAACTGCAATTTGGAAAAATTTAAGGGCTATTCAGAGTATGACGTTGAGAAGGAAGGAATAGTAAGCTGCACACAAACTGTAAGTGCTCATTTTAGGCATTTCCATTCAAATAACACTATATTTTATTCAGGACTGATGTGGCTAGCGTACGTTTACAGCGAAAGCAGCACCATGCATCAGACAGAGCAGTATTGTTTCAGAGTCACTGCAGTATACACTACCCAGACACACTTCAGCTGGACAGATCTCTGAAAGTGAGGGCCATAGGTAAGAGCTGGCTCTAGTTATTGTAGGTGTCATTTCAAAAAATGAAATAATTGTGAAGTGCGTAGGCTCCGCTGCGCTTCCTCCCCTCCCGCCCTCCCCGCTTTGTTAAACACATCCATCACATCCTCTTTCCCTGGGTGGATTTCTTCATCACTGATCCCATTGTCCTGTGATGGAATGGAACAGAACAAAGGCCACCAGATCATTTTTCTAAATCACTCATCTGGTCTGGTGAAAACTCTAAAACTCAAGAGAATTTAAATAGTTTAAATGCTCTTAAAGAGCAATGTGGCTCTATTTCTCAAATAATTTTTTTTTAAATTAAAATTTTGAAAAAAGCATGGCACCAATTCAGCCAAGCATCCCATTACATCTGATTATTTAGCAAAATCTTCCAACACATTCCTTTACTTCTTTTGTTGTACTGGCATAGCATGGAATTAAAACCCATTGTTGCAGCCTTTTTCCTCGTCTGCCTCTCTTTGGAGAGAGGTTATTTTTAGTTTAATGTTTTTTTAAAAAAGATACTCAGCCAGGTTGTTTGGTTTATCTTCCTGCTTTCTCCTGGAGCATTTGGAGAAAAGCTAAACAAAGGAACAATGTGCTTTGATACTCCCTGCACGTTCCAAGACTTAGCTAAACAGCCAGCTTTGATAAACTTATCCTGCTCCTTGGTTTGCTCAGCCTACTGGAAAAGCAAAGGAGCAGGAGCAAAGGGCTGCCACTCCGCATTCCCTGCGCAGCCTTGGGAGGCCTCTCCAGGGGCCTCTTTCCCACTGACAAACGCAGCCTAAGCATGCCTAAGTGCTTAGGCACTTGTGAAAGTGTTTCTCCACATGTAGGGAGTGAAGATAACCACAAAGAACAACCTTGGGCCTTTAAGGAGAATTAGAAAGGAACATACCTGGAAAACAACACAGACACGGTTTTGGAATGTCAGGAACTGCAACTATTTGTTACTGAATGCTCATCCGGTTAATTTTTGCTTTAAAGCAATTTTTGCATAAATTCCTACCTCTTCCAGTCTCTATCCTTCGTCAAGCATGGTTCAATTTGTACTCTTGGGATATACCTACTGTATTAATGTAGTCTGTGGGAGGCAGGAACCTTAAGCAGTTAGTTCACATTGCTTGATAACCAGTAGCTGAGAAACAGCTTTAGCCATCATAAGGAAAACTGCTCATTGCCACCAAAAGAAATAAAGAAAACTCTGTCTAATCACTGTTTGTCTAACATGAACACACAGTCATGCTTTGAAAGGGAAGAGTCTGTAATTGACATGGAAAACTTACTGCAGTTACTAGAGATGCTAACCAAATCTCACTCCCTGGTTTCAAAGTGAAATCCAGACTCCCAGTGGCACAAAACCTTCCAGAGAAATAAAACTAATTACACTTCAGCATTTCTAGACCTTGAGGTTTTTAATCACATATACCATCTTGCTTAACAGTTCATTCACTTAACACAGGCAAGGTACAAGTTTTTGTAGAAGTGTCTGGAAGTGCATCTAGAATGCATTGCCTGCCCACTGTTTTATTTACAGGTTTTTTCCATGAAAATCAGTAGCTAATAAATCAAAGCATTATTACACAAACACAAAATACAATCATTAACACTTTACTGGATACAAATGATAAGCATAAGGAAATGTCCATGTACGCTCACTGACATGAATTTGTGTTAGCTTGCTACTAATATATGATACTGTGAATTGGTGGTAATATAACTGAAAGACAGATGTGTATTAAAAAAAATTAGAGAGCCACTCATGTTTGACATGATCTTATACTGAGATAAATATCTACAGACAGTGGTATGATCATGTACATTCACATGTGATCATATCAACATAGTTAATTTTTTTCTGACAAGGTATCATCATCAAGGTAGTTCAACCTCCTCAAAAAAGCTTGCTAAGATCAAGTACCAGATAGTATTTTCTAAAGTGTTGGATGATACAGAAACAATCTGTGCAAGTGTAGCAATTTTGATTCAGAAAAAAATTTTAAAAAGTAGTATTTACATAGGTAATTTTTAAATTCAGTGATTAAATCAAGACTCCAGTCTTCATATTCCAAACACCTGTTCATTTAATTTCTTTTTTTTTTTGGCGGTTTGCTCTCCTCTCCCATTCCTTCTCCCCACCACAAATATTAGCCCAGGTTTAAAGTAGACTATCACAATTAAAACTCTTCAAAAAACAGTAAGTTATTCACCTTGTGCCAAAAAAGAAAAAAAATAAAAAGAAAAAAAAGCAACACTATAACATTACTCATAAGATTTCATAAATCCTTCATAATTGAGGAAAGTTCCAGGAGCAAAAAGCTTATACAACTTGGGAGGAGAAATAAAGGAAATAGGAGACATACATCCATTGACTTTTTTGTTTGTTCTTTCTGAATTTCATTTACAAAAAGCTCCTGGTACTTTTTCTAATGTTTCCACACCTCCTTTCTCTGGCACATATGGTTTAATATACAAACAATTTAAATAAAATGTCAAATTCAAATGCCCCACCATAAATAATTCCACTCTTATGAAAACTGGTGGGGTTTTAGCTATTTCAAAACTAGCCCTGCCTGGCTAAGCATTTCATTAGGAATCAGGGGTTAAATAAGAGGATTCTTGCAAAAAAATTTGTTATTCTATTTTAGCCTTGTAACAATTTAATACAAATGAAATCTAGAAGAAACCCTTTTCACTGATGTTGTTTCTTTTTCATACATCCTAATACCCATAAGTTATAACCACACAGGCTGTGTAAGAAACAATTATTTGAGCTTTTCTGTGTTTTCTAGAGATTCTGTGAGCCTGTTGATGTTTCTGAACTTAAACAAAACATAAAAACTCTTGAAGTCCTTATTCTAAATGGTAGATAAACTCTCTAGCCTTTTTTCTTCATGGAGTGTTATTATCCATCCTGATTATAAGATACTGTATTTCTTCTCAGCTTTAAATTTGGTTTGTCAGTACTGTCTCTTTTTGTTCCCATCTTGTTTTTCAGATTCCAACTCATTTGGTGAAAGAGCTCATAATTTTACCTCCTTGCTGAAGCTGATCTTTTCACACTGGTCAGCTTTGAAAGTCAGAATACTGAGTGTTTCTCTAGGTCAGACTGGTACTAATTTGAGTATGGAGTGGAACCAAGCTGGTTTGATGTGGAGTTTGGATTGATTTCTTCTCATGCTGGGTTGGAGATCTAGCCATCTCAGGCGGCTCAGGAAACGGGGTGGGGAGTGGTAGCCATTTCCATGCCAGAGTCTCTTAACAGCAAAAATACAGAAGAGAAACGGAGAGAATGAAAAAAAGGCTTGTGGTTGAGTGAAGAGAATTTCCATGTCCGTGAGTGGTGGTATTGTTCACTGAATTTGTGACAGCTGACAGAGAAGTGGAACTTGCTGAAGAATTGTTTGAAGGTGTTGGACTTGTTCCATTGGGACCACAGTAGATCTAGAATGTGGAAAGGAGGGGAAGTAACAAAAAGGGTTATATTGTCTCTTTTTAAAAGTCAGAATACCTATTAGTAGCAGTGAACACTGTGTAGCCCCCCTCAGACATAGCAGTCAATGATACATACAAATGCTCACGCCTTTCATTGTGCACTTAAGGACAAAGACATTCCGAATTGCACGTGTGGGATGTGTTAAAGAAATACATCTAATATTTTTCTAAATGTATTTACATGGCTATTACTTTATGGAAATCCTTTAATCCTTCCCTAAATTAGAAGACACATAGGTTTCAAAAAACCTCAGAAAAGAAAAAAAAAAAAAAATGTAGAGCTATGTAAAGGCAGATCTTAGGATATGAAAGACTTTCAAACAACTGTGTGAATTGCAGTCTGCCTTTGCAGACTAAGCCACAAAACAAAAATATGAGGAAACAACGGTCAAGAATGTATTGATACTGTTTCTGGGGCTGGTTTGCGGCTTCCTTTGAAGCAATGGTGGGGCTTAATGTGAGTGGATTTAATACTTCAGCCTCTCTTATCTTGCTGCGGTAGCACTGAACTGCAGAAGTTAGAACAATGAAACCATACTGATTAAATCACAACCTGCTGGCATTCTAGAAGACAGACCAAAAAAAAAGTGCAGTGAAAAGACCATATATTAGCAAATTTTTAAAATGCTGACAGAAAGCATAACAAAAAATACCCTTTTCCCTTCATAACTCTGCATTATAGGGACAGAACAAAAACTTGCACTCTGTGCAACCTCAGTATCAAGTTATTTCCTACATATGCACAGGAAAATTTTCAAAGATAACCTAAAGTATTTTTATTCCTGTGAAAAAAAAAGCATGTGAAACAAAAGGATGAAAAACAAGAGCAAGAATCACCTTATTGCATCCCCAAAAATGAGCATAATACAGAAAGCTTGGCTTCAACTCCGTGGCAGAAAACTCTACCAGAGCATTCTGGTAAGCTCTTAGACTTAACTCAAGTAAAACCATATCTTTTTTTAAAGAGGTTAGTTAGTTTTTTAAAGAGGTTAGTTAGTTTAATAAGTAATTCTGTCCACAAAAGGTGTCCTTATTTTCTCATGTTTCTAGTGCTGCTGAGAAAATAGATTAGCAGGGGGAAAAAAAATCAATCCCTCAATATTGCAGCAATGAAGTCTACGTTAAATTAATTAGAAAACTGCATAAGCACTTTCTTTCGGTATTTCCTACTAAAAAAAAAGCATACAATAGAAAAACATAAAAATGGTGTAAAGCTTCTGGTATTTAGCATTTTTGGCAATCGGCACCGTGCTAGAAGCAATTGAGGACTGCAGGATAAAAATCGCTGTGTTGAAGTTTCTGTTAAAACCAGTCTGAAGGTGATCAATAGTGAATTGCTGAGGTAATAACCTACAAGGCAAGTCCCAGCCTGCCCTGGAATTTTTTTCAGTCTTCGTACAAAGACTCCACCATCATTCCACTCTTGGTTATGTATATTTTAAGTTTTCTTGGTTTTGAACAAAAAAAAAAAAAAAAAAAAAAAAAAAAAAAAAAAAAAAAACAGTTGCTTAATTTTTTCTTTTCTTTTGGTGGAAGAGAATGGGCTTATGTCCAAGTTCCCCAGCATCACAGTAGATGGGACCTCAGACGTTTTCTCAACGTGAATGTGATAAATGTGATAAATACCGGTAACCTAAAGAGTCTGATCCTTCTCTCAATCACTGCCAAGGGCAAGACTCCACTGAGCACAAAGGAGAAGGGATAATGCCCTTTCTTGCAAACAAAGAGGAGAGGAGGAGGGAACACGATCCAGCAATGCCGCTGCTGTTCATTTTTCTGATTCCGTGCTAGTCACCCTTTTGAAGAGGTGGTCTCTGGGAACACCACACCGATACGGAACCTGCGAGTCCCGCTCGGCTTGGCCGCTTGTGGAGAAGCGGATGGCTCCGGCATCATTACCTTTGCGCCAAGGGCACGGCTCGGCCAGGGCAGCAGCCAGAGGCTGGCGCCCTCGCTTCCAGCCCCTAAACCTCGCACTCCTGCCGAGAGCCGAGCCCAGGACCAGCCCCAAAGCCCCGCACCTTCGGGCGGGGGGAGGACCAGACCCGGGTCCCGCTGCAAAACTCCTGCCTTCCCGGAGCTCTCTCGGCTTTGGAGGGACCGTTCTCCCTCCGACCAGCGGGGGATGAGCGCTCAGCGGCCGCTCACACCGCGGTTCCGCGGCTTTCCCTCCAGGATCCCAGGGGGGACAAAAAGGCGGCCAACTCCAACTTCATCTTTTTAGATTTGACCGGGGTAATCCACGGCACCGCCACCGCCGTCCCAGGGCTCCGGGCTCGCCCCGCCGCCCGTCCGCGCCCATCCCCGCCCGTCCGCAGCCGGCGCTGCCCGGGCTCGTTCCTCTCGCCGCCGCCGCCGCCCCGGGCGGAGGAGCCGCCCGCCACCCACGGCCGCCCGCGGGGCGCCGCGAAGGGCTCCGGGATGGCGCACACGAGCGGGAGCTCCTCTCGGGAGAAGCCCGCCCCTCCGCCGCTCCGGGAGGGTCTCGCCCTGGGGCCGGCGGGGGGAAAGCGCCGAGCCGCTTGGGGCTCACCTGCGTGGGAAGGAGGAGGGCAAGGAGCAGCAGCCCCAGGCCGAGCCGCGCCGCCAGCGCCGTCCCCATGCCCATCTGATGCTGTCCCGCCGCGATGCTGGTGCTGCTCCTGCCGCTGTGGCTGCGGGCGAGAGGGATGCGCCGCTCCGCCGCACCCGGCCCTTTTATAGCGGCGCGGGCTCCCGTGACGCCCTGCCGCCGCCTTCCCTCCTCCGCCCCACACCGCTGCTCCCGCCCTCCCGGCCCGCAAGTCGCTGCCGCCCCCTGCCCGGGCTGTCCCGCGGGACCGGAGCGCGCTCGGGTCCTGCCGGCCCCTCTCCGGCAGGACAGACCCGGAGCTCTGCTTGCCCCTGGGTTCTTACAGGCGCTGGCTCCTCTCTAGTGCCGGCGTCGTGTTCTGGCGTGGAGGGATTGGCACAGGGCTGTGGCGCTTGAGCTGCGGTTACTCCAGAGAAACGCTTATCTTTATAAAAACATAATCTTTTTCCATTAAAAAAAAAAAAATCATGAGTGAAAGAAGGAAAGGGAAAAGCAGCTGTAAATATTTCTAAATGTCTGGAGCAGTGGGGAAAAAAGCTGGGGAGTTAAGATCCCATCTTGTTTGAGCTCCCTCACCATCAGTGCTCAGGCTTCAGACCACAGGTTGCAATTTCAAGCACTCTTTGGATCTAAATATTTTATTATTACCATTATTCTTTAAAGAAACCTATGTAACAAGTGGAACACAAAGTTCTTCCAGCTGTAGCCTCTGTGTAGGTGAGGTTCTACCTTCTGGCACAGTAAATGCTGTACTTCTGTTGCATCAGTCAGCCTCCTTGGCTGACTGAAGATTGTTTTAGTGAGGCCCTGACAACCTTTCAGATGTACACGGACAACTGAACAAAAATAGTCGGTGTCCACTTTATAAACTACAAAGAAGAGACTGATTCCATTGTCACAAAACAGTTGTTTCTATTTAAAAGAATAGCAACATTTTCTGTTGGCTCAGAAAAATCAGCAGGTTTCAAAATTGGATAGATTTGCATTTATCTGGGAACAAAGTGTGAGAAGATACCCAAGTTCAGCACTCCATAACTCATTGGCCATCCTCAGGGGCTGGACTGCTTTTGAAGAGCTTCCAAGGGCATTGCTAGAACTCAGTCCAAAAGCACAGGAAATGTGGAGAAATGCACTATAGAACCAGGTGCTGGGACTTCTGTTGGACAAGAATATTTCATTCCAAACTAAGTTTTTCATTAATTCCTTCAGAATGCCCAACAAAGCTATAGAAATTTTATTTTTCCAGAAATAAAGGCATTTTGTACCACCCAAGGTAGCAATCCTTATTCTATACCAGGACAAAAGAGCTTTTGAGAGCTCTGCTAAGTCTGAAGCACTTCTGAAGCAACATTTCCTTCATTCTGATCACAGCCATAGTCCAGTCCTTAGCTATAAGAGACAGAGTCTCTCAATAGAGTAACTATGGGAACAGTCAACAAATTGATGGTTGTATGTCTCTGAATATTCACTGGTTGTCTGCTGAAGGCTGGATGCCAGAAGATGGGTTTTCATTATTATGGAGATACAAGGAGAGAAAAAAGAGAACTGTGGTGGCCTTAAAATGACAGAGTGACAAAGCTGAAAACATTTCTATCACTACTCTGCCTTGCCAACAGTTAGTTTTGGTTGTCATAGTTAAATGACTCACAAATGGGGGGAAAATCACCTATTCATTCAGTAGATAAGCCTAACACTACAGAAAAGTGAAATTCCCTGTGAGAGAAGTCATGTGAATCACAGCAATAAAGTCAGGGCTCACATGATTCTGACACCAGATTCCCTGAAGGAGATGAAAAATGAAGGGAATCCAGTTAGACCTCTGCAATAGCTAAAGCAAAGAATATTCTAGTGTAAATCTGACAGAGATGGTTGCCATTATTATCTCTCCCATCTTGTTTGGGAGAAAAGGAAGTGATACAGCTGTTGCATGATCCCATAGGGGATCATAACAGGCTGTTCCAGGTTGAAGCAGCAGCTGAGACACGTAAATGTCAACACCAGGACAGATGAGAATGGGAGAATAACAGTCAGATGGCCTTTCCCACTCTCCCTACCTGGGCATCTTGCCTGAGGTCTGTAACTGTAAAAAAAGAGGAGGATGCACATTTCTTGTAAGGTGACATGAACCAATACAGCATGATACAACCAACTATTATTATTAGTATTATTATTATACAGTGCATTGCACTTCTGGTGTTTAACAAGGTTCTGTGAAAATTAGGATATCTTTCTTTTTTGCTAAAAATATTGTAAAGTCTGTTCCTCTATTTAAAAATAAAGAAAAACACTGAGGTTTAAAAATATTTGGCAGAAATTATAAATTACAGAAATAGTAAAACCCTGTAAAGATTATGTTTGGAGGCCAAAAATGCCTTTTGAGGTATTCCTGAAATACTAATATAAATAAGGAAATGTACTGTCAGCAAGGGAGAAATGCTAAAAATATTTTAAGCCCAAGGTATTCATTGAAACTTTTGTCATTGGAAATTATAATGCCTAATACTCCATTAGATTTATAGAACCAACTTTCCCCATTCAGGAAAGCTGCAATATTGATTCCTCCTGAACACATAAATCATCTGCATTCCTAATTCTAAATTTATTTTTTTTATAGCTGAAGTCTATAATGAATTCTGCAAAAGATATATCTGAGCAAGAGTCCAGGATCCAATATATGGATTTTTTGACAAGGCAAGGAATGCTGTGAGCTGAGAACCATACAAAGTGAAGTACTGCTATCTGGTGGCCAAAAGGAACTTCAGATATTTTTCTTTCAGAAAAGACAACGCACTCCCTCAGTCAAACACCCTTTGATTGTGTATCTTAGTGTCTCTTAGAGTTCTCATCATGCTGAGACACAGTGTTAAATATTGTTGAATCCCCATTGTTCTGTTTCCTTTAGTTTTTATCCATAGGTCAGCACCTCTCCCAGTTAAATACATAGTATTTGATTAGAAAGGTTAGCAAAGAGAAGGGGGAAAATGACCCTGATCTCCTGAGTTAAGTGTAAGTTCATATGTGTATTCCACCAGTGACTTTTAAGTTGATTGAACTTCGCAATAGGCATAGCTCTCCGTTCAGTGAGCAGAAGCAAAACTTGTGCTGCTCTGCATAATGCCTTGGAAAACAAGATCAGCTAAAATGACTGGCACAAAACTCCAACAGTTGCCTATAAAAGGAGGCAGAGAAGTCTACAAGACACATAAGTAATTTATCCAAATACATTACATTTAAATAAAAAGCTCTAGCAAAATAAGTGGAGACAGAGCATTAAGTGGAATTAATGAGAAATAATTTTGAGTTAACCATTAATTTACTCTTACCTTTTAGATGCTAATCTCCAAATATTTTAGAAGCATCAATTGCCAGTGAGAATCACTGGATCCTGTGCTCCCCCAGCCAGCTCCTCACTCTCCTTGGTTGTGCATAGACTAGAATTTACTACTTATATATTTGAACTTACTACAGCTTGTGGATACTCTCAGTATCTTCATCCATTTCAAGCTCAGGCTACTGCAGCTCCCAGTACTCACCTGAGTCATATTATGAGTTATTTTAATTAATACCCCCCTGTGAACTTGTGTATTTATGTATTAGAACCTGATGCTTTTTCAAAAGACATTTGGAGAAATCAGTTTCTGAAGTGTTCACCAACTAGCCCACATATGCTGATCTGAGCTGACATAATAATCTGGTGGTATGTTTCCTTGATATCCATTTTTAGCATATGGTTATGCCTTGAGAAAGTCACATGTCAATATTTCCCAATATTTCCTATAATTTCCTAATATTTCATTAGTTAGGCTGGTCCTTCTCTTGCTGCTTGTTTAGTGGAAAGGACCTGTGTTGCAGCAGCTCCAGCCATAAAATCAAAATTTGCCAGATATTTTGAAGCACCCTTTCTTACAGCTGCCTCTTCACTACCATTGCAGAACAAGACTGAAATACTGATGGGACTGGTTGAAACTGATTTTAGACAACTGGACAAAGCTGTTTGGCATGTGTCTTGGATAAGGACTTGGAATATATATTGAGGATTGCATTTCCTCTTCCAGTTCATATTAAATTTTTAATAGTAAAGCTTTTAATGGAAGACATAATTTGTGGTAATGTAAATCTCCATTTATTGGTAATAAATCTTTATTAGATTCAGCTACCTATGTCTTCAGACATGGGCCTTGCTGCCATGATGCAGAGCCAGGATTCCAGCAGTGACACTGCTTCCCTTCGATCTGAGACAAAGGTGTTGGGCTGGTTAGTTAGAGGTATAGTTGTGAAGTAAGCAAAACCATGATTTCCAGACCTGGAATTGTAAGCCTGGAAGTTTAAGCAGAAGGGAAATTGTGATTCCAGAAACAGTCTCAAGAAGAAAAGTGTAAGGGTTGCTGCTTTAATGTCCGTGGATCTTTTGACTTCAAGGGATGGTGTCAGCCTACACAATTAGGTGTGGCTTCAGATCTGCTTGAAAGCACACCTTTCTCCCTAAGTCAAACAAACTCAATACAAGCAAATTAAATGGTAGCAGAGCCTGTTCTTTGGCCTTCAGGCCAGCTGACATGTCTAACCCTGCCCACACTATTAAAATCTCCAGCCTCCAGAAGATGGAGGCTAAGTCTAAACTGCCTATTGGTATACAGCTGTCCCTGGCATGAGCCAACCCCTGAACTTTTCCATGGTCAGGAATTGTTTGGGATCATGCAACTTGGAATAGGACAAGACCAAGACTGAGCTTTCCTTCACTTATGAGGCATAATGTCAGATAAAAGGTCTATGGACATGAAAAAGTAAAAATGACCAAAGGTCATCTATTCCATCTTCTGATTTGAGAAAAGTTTAAATATTACACTCAGAAAAAAAATCAGTGAAGGGTATTCCCCACCCATAGGCCTTCTGTTTGTTTGCCAAACTATCTTTGCATAATATTTCTCTTAAGTCTTCTTTGCTGCAAGTTTGCATTGCATTGCAACAATTTATTGCATTGCATAGTAAAGTGCACAGACAATAATGATGACCAGATTTGTAACAACGTGTTTACTGGTTGAAAACCTATCAGACACTTTGCACTGAGAGAAGGAAGGGTCGCATGACAGCAGCCATCTACATCTAAG